TGTGTGTGTGTGTGTGTGTGTGTGTGTGTGTGTGTGTGTGTGCAGATCGCAGAGCTGCTGGCAGAGCTTGCTGATGAGAGGAGCACCAGTGAGTCAGCTTCTCAGCTGCTGGAGACTGAGACTTCAGAAAGACTCCGCCTGGAGAAGGACATGAAGGATCTACAGGCACATATACATACACATAAAATCAGAAAGCAGCTTGCATTGTTAGAAGAGAAAAAAAAATCAAGTTTACTATGATGGAATTACTCCTTTGTAACGTTCTTTTGGGGGGCCTAATTGGTGTGTTCCAGGTTAAGTTTGATGCCATGACGAAACAGTTAGAATCACAGGAAATGGAGCTGATGGAAGCACGGCTCATGAAAACTTCTGAGCTTAACGGGGAGATGGACGACGACGATGATTCTGGTTAGTTCAAGCTAAAAGCTATCCTTAGGCCAAATATAAAGACGAGTTGAAGGATCTGMGCTGCACTGAGAGCACTTTTTTGGTCCTACAGTCAGTGCTTTTAAACATTTATTTTAAAATCCCTAATTAATTGTACCTTTTGACACCAGCAGCAGTTTGACTAAGCCTCCCTAATGGGCATGTCAGCTCAGGTCAGGAGCATAATTTACCGAATTGCTCATACCAGAATTATCTGCACAGTTTGAAAACTTCTCTTGCATTAATTGTAGCTGCAGGATGGAATAGCTTTGTTTGACCGATCCAGCAGGAAGCACGGCGCCTAGGCTGGATCGCTTCTTGCATAACGCCGTTAAGAATATTTTCCAAGTTTGGGATTTACCGCCAGCAGATTAAGATGTTCATTCCCAGGCATACGACTAATGCCCGCCGCTGATTGGTTTCCCCCTGCTCGAAAATGGAGCGCCTACTGAGAGCATATTGTCCATGAGAGTTTTTTTCCTCCCCCCCCTTTCCAATACCACTCCCTTTTCAACCCACCTCAGCAGACAAGCCATTACAGAGCATATCAGAATTCTTAGATGAATGAGAAAGTAATCGTTGGAATCAGAGCTGGTGGCCCCGCAAGTTGTCATTATGCTATATATATGCTAATGAGCAGCACTGATGGAGGAGCCCGTGTTGGTATGTGAAGGAGAAATGGACAGGCGCTGAAATGATAAGGCTTGGAAATGAACCTGAACCTGAATGCCTGCCTGGCCGCTGTTTTAGTTCTGATAGCCTGTGACAGCTCCAGAATTAGGGTCGGCAAAGAACTGTGGAAAGTGCCTCTTAGACATGTCCTTCTCTTAACTGCTATTGTAGTGTGCTCAGAATTCCTACCTACGGTTTATTCAAGATTAGAGTTGAAACGCAAAGGCTGCTTTGTAGCTTCCTGCGGAATTTTTTGACCCCTAAAGGTCAGGTTTTGATGAAAGAAGCTTTATTTCCTGAAAGATTATATTATGTCGGTCCTTGAGCGCGATAACCATCTCAGCCAGTACAGTGCACTCGATAATCCACAGCATCCATCATTTCTGAGCTTTTGAGCCTCTTTCTCTGTGTACCCCCGCTATGCCTGCATTAAAAAGTGGGAGACACCCAAATGTCACCAAGACATTTTCTAAAATTGTATGTCTTTTCCTCCAGGAGGAGAATGGAGGCTAAAATACAACAGAGCCATTCGGGAAATGGACTTCAACAAAAAGAAGCTGCAGCAGGAGTTTGATGACAAGCTGGAAACGGAGCAGCAGAGCAAAAGACATATTGAGAGAAAGGCAAGAGATGCACGATTTTAAAGTTACTCATTGTGAACTAGCTTATGAAACATAAAAGGTTATTCTGAACTGTATCAAATGATGCCATTTGAAAGAGTTTACTCCAGTRGTTTTCTAGATGCATTGATATGCAAGTTTAAAATATGGCTCCACACTCRGTAAACAAGGCRCTTGGCAGAGTTTAGAAGTTKAAGTCATGTGACTGACCTACATTATTTACAGACATGCAAAGTTTACCACGCGTACAATAACTCAAATCTGGTCCATTTTCCCACCTGTGGTCCCCTTGCTTCGGAAACCCAGGAAAAATGGCTGCCAGACAACACATAAACCACAGCTTTATGCCAGAGTCCAGTCCCACCCCAAATATGGTGTCATACCAAACAAGGAAGTAACACTTCTAACGTAAAATATTACGTGTTTATACTGTTGGAGCAAGGCACACATTAAATAGAGACTTGTAGATTATCTAAAGTTAACGGTTACAATCAATCCTAAAGTATAAGAAARTAGATGTGCATCTAAAATTCAATCAGTCATAAATATCCAACATAAACATAGGTCCAATATCACAATACAGTAATGATTTGATACTGTACTTAATTGATAAAGACAGCCTTGTTTTATCATCACTTAGCCAAATCTGAAGATATTTTCATAAATGACTAATTTTTGCTTTTCACCAATTATTTAGCCATTTGTGTTATTTTAAACCAGGATGAATTTAAGCAAATTGTGCATTGTTACTTCAGAATTAGCAAAAAATAAGTCAAAATACAGGAGGGAATAAATCAGCCTGATCTTTCATTTTTTTATCTTCTTACTTAAACTAACAAATCTRAGCTATAAAAATGTGTAAGTTCTATGTAGCTTTACCAATTGTCTGACTTTTCCATCCCAAACTGTCTTCATTGGAAGTTGCCATTGTTTACTTATTTTCAGTCACTTTGRCTGTTTCTGTTGGTAGGCAGCTATTTGCAAACTTTCTTTGCAAAGTTTTAATTTAGGGTCACACATTAACCACCAAAATGAGAGAAAAAAGTGCAGATTTTGCAGTGAGTATCTTTAACGTTTGGCTGCTACAGACATTAAATCTTTAAAAAATAACAGTACTGATGTGCATTAGGCTGCCATAAATTAATAACGATGTGTTTGTGTGCTGCAGCTAGCCGATCTGCAGGCAGATAATGAGGATCTGCAGCACTCCGTGCAGCAGCTGAAGAAGAAGTGCCAGAAGCTGACGGCCGAGCTGCAGGACACCAAGCTTCATCTGGAGGGCCTACAGAGCCGCAACCACGATCTGGAGAAGAAACAGAGGAAGTCAGTYACAGCTTACCCGCGTCACTCTTTCTGCCTTTCTATCTTTTTTTAATTATAAACACACATCACAGAGATCTCCCAGCTCTGTTCCCCTTGGGACTGTGCAGCACTGGGCCCACTCACATAACGCTCAARTTTTCTGTAATTTGAATAGTGGCTGGTATGGTCTGTAATCTGTGGAATTGCATTAGCAGAGAAAATGACTTAGACTTAAAGCACTTGAGAAGCTATCGCTGTGGCAGAATGTGATCTCTCCCCTGTGGCTAATTGAAGATGCTCTGTGGGTGAAATTATTTTCAGCTGCACTTCAGAGAAAAAATACGGGGAATTACGACAAGCTGTCAGCATGAAACACTTGGCTGTTGTGCTCACGAACAATAAATGTTTCTGCTCCAGACAGCAGAAGAAAACATTCTGCCGATTATTAAAATCTAGTGCGAAACTTTTGCCTAATAGGAGWGGAAATTTAAACAGAAGAGAAGTTGAATGCTTCTTTAGTTATGGGATAACTATAACAAACCTGTAGCTTTTTCTTTTTCTTGTAAATTTAAAGTCCTAGCATTCTTTGAAAGAATGCAAATCATCCTCTGCTTTTTATGCTGTGAAGAGTTATAGGTTAAACCTTAAAAATGTTATGTGCCATCCAATGCCCAGACTATATGTTATATTGAATTTTAGTTAAATATTAAAAAAAAGCAGTAGGTATAGTTATCTTGGTTATATATGGCAGCCRTCTTGAACTGCAAATCCAATCAGTTGTAGATGTTCAGTTGTTATATTTAATTTCTGAGAATTTATTTAGTTTCATGGAAATTTGGCGCATCACCTCACTTGAATCATACGTCACCATATTTTAATACTATGGTATATTAAAATACCATCATACTGCCCAATTCTAGTATAGACAATTGACTCACATACAGATGCAAGCAAAAATATTTCTAAGTCATACTTTTTTGTCTAAGTTGTTTTTCAAATGGCTATTTTGTTAAGGAATTGTAACTATTTTGATAACTTATCTGTGCCGTTTGCATTCAAGATACAATACATCTGTGTTTTACTGTAATATTTAAACATGATTCATGAAAACATTTAGACATAATTTAATGTTTGGGTGATTCCAGAAGCTTCAGCTTCTACAGTGTTTTACTTCAAATTCCACATTTTCCTGGGTTGCACTTTAGTGCGTCTGTGTCTCCTTCTGTGTGCTCCAGATTTGACCTGGAGCAGAGCCAGTTTCAGGCTGAGGTACAAAGAGAAAAGAGCCAGCGGGAGAAACTGGCTCGAGAAAAAGACATTATGACTGGCGAGATATTTAACCTCCGCCAGCAGCTGCAGGTGAGCTTCTCTTCCGTTTTTTCTTTCTCTGCACGGCGAGCTGTAACAGAGCCAATCCAGATGTGCACTTCCTCTTTTTTTCTTTTTTTTYCTTTACYGTGTTCACTTCCACCTGCAGGACAAGGACACTGAATTGTTCACCACCAGCGCGAAAGTGCAGCAGCTGAACTCGGATCTGCAGGACCTGTCCTCCCAGGAGTCCAAGGACGAGGCCTCGCTGGCCAAGTTGAAGAAACAGCTTCATGAACTTGAGGCGAAAGTGAAGGACCAGGAGGAGGAGCTGGACGAACAGGCTGGAAGCATCCAAATGTTGGAGCAGGTACTGAGTGCTTCCAAAAACAACTATTTTTAATCCTAAAAGCAAAGTTTTCACTTCCAAAATGCAGCTTTTCTAAGAACCTGAAGTCCGCAAACAGTAAACGTTCTTAGCCAATATTCTCACGTTTTTGTTTTTATTTCTGGGTATTTATATCGTGAGCTGTTATGTGCGTCTCCTCATCTTGTTCTCAGACTAAGCTGCGGCTTGAGATGGAGATGGAGAGGCAGCGRCAGAGCCACTCCAAAGAGATTGAGAGCAGGGATGAAGAGGTGGAGGAAATCAGGCGGTCCTGCAGTAAGAAGGTAAGTGTTGCTCATTTTCTYTCTTTGTCCATTAATTCTTCCTTTCCTAAGCCTCTCCTCAGACTGACGATCAGGCACGTTCAAGGGAAAACTGAGAAACAGTTTTGTTTTGCAGAATCCAACACTGTTTTAAAATAAATGAAATATACAATGCTAAGAATGACAAATTTGATTACATTTATTATCACAATTTAACATCATGTCATAACAAGATTATGGCTGTAGACAAAATAGAGTTTAAAATGTTGGCATGAAAGGCAGTGAGGCCTCTATTGTGATTTGCATTTGCATCACCCGTGTTTGTGTTTTGACACACATGCATCCTGCAGCTGAAACAGATGGAGATTCAGCTGGAGGAGGAGTACGACGACAAGCAGAAAGTCCTGCGTGACAGAAGAGACCTGGAGTCCAAACTTCTGATTACCCAGGACCAGGTACTTCCTTCACTCTGCCTCTGCTCTCTGTCAGTGCAGTTAAGTGCGTGTGATTTGGTGCGAGCCACTTCTTTGGATTGGAAATAAAATGCTTTTGAGTGTGGAGAAGCACTGTTAGTTTTAAAGGAGGATAGATGGTCGTCTGTGTAATAGTGATGACTGCAGAGGAGTGGTTTGTCATTCAGGTGAGCCAGAGGGATGTGGAGACAGAGAAGAGGTTGAAGAAGGACTTAAAGAGGACCAAAGTCCTTCTGGCTGATGCACAAATTATGCTGGACCACCTGAAGAGCAATGCWCCCAGCAAAAGGGAGATTACCCAGCTCAAAAATCAAGTACGTAATCTGGAGAAACAACTGTCTACACACTAGTGCTGTAGCCTGGTAATGAATGGCATTACGTACCGTCTTTTTTTCTTTTTTCATTACGTACTGTCTTAACAATAGCTAAAACAATCATCGGTTGTAGCCTCATCTTGACCCACTAACAGTTGTCCTTCCCGTCTTGCCTGCYTCTTTCCATCTGTGTCTCACAGCTGGAGGAGTCAGAGTTCACTTGTGCAGCAGCGGTGAAAGCTCGAAAGGGCATGGAGATTGAAATCGAAGACCTGCATATCCAAATGGAGGATGTGGTCAAAAATAAAATGGCGGTGAGTTTCACATCTGACCAGAAAGGAYTATGGAAGTGCGACTGGCGGTGTTGAGCAGGAGGAAACAAACTGTGTCCGAGTCATRCAAGTAGACCTGCAGTCTGAGGGCGAAGTGCTCTGYTAGGAAAATATGGGACAATAAGAGCTTTAAAATAAGATGAAGCTTGGTTGTTAAGAGCTTTGTATGTTAGAAGYAAGATTTTAAATTCTATTCTGAATTTGACAGGGAGCCAGTGGAGAGAAGCTAAAGCTGGAGAAATATGATCTCTCCTTCCAACTCTCATTAGAACTCTAGCAGCAGCATTTTGGATTAACTGAAGACATTTAAGGAGTTTTTGAGGACACYCAGATAATAAAGAATTAAAGCAGTTCAGCCTAGATGTGACAAATACAGTACATGGACCAGTTTTTCTGCATCATTCACTTGAGTAATCCTAAATATTCTCCAGTTCTGCTTCAATCTGGATGGTATGCTCAATGTTGTATATATTGTATATTTTTTTATTCATGCAGCCTCTTGGCCAGCTCATGTTTTTAAATGAGAAGTGGTTCTCAAACAGTTTACCTGGATAAATAAAGGTTAAATAAATAAATAAAAGTCTCTAACACAAACTGCGTTTTTTGCTCGTATTTGTCTGTAATTTAACATTCAGTGTCTTCTTTATGACACAGTAATGGACAACAGAGGATTTTYGTTTGCACAAATGTTTTGAAACTCTTCTTTTAATGAGAAAGTAAAAGCAGAAACAACAATGTGTAATTACTTAAGGGCCTGTGCATATCAAATTTTCTCTTTTCAAAATGCAGAGGGATTCTCATTAATATGCACTCATCAAGCCATGCTGGGATATTAAAATAATAAACGCCCTTTGGCATATGTCTGATTTCGAAATTTTTGCTCTAATGGATAAATGAGCTTTATCGAAAGTGTTTTTTTTCCCCTCAGTTTGCTCATTAATAGCTGTCTCCCGAGAGTTCTGCCTRCATTTTAGACTCATAGACTGCGGATATTTGTGTCTCTTGGGATGACGCACAGTGTGCAGCGTGCTTGTGTTTTAGTTTTTAATTGCCACATTTATGGCGAGGGAGGGTCCTGTAAATGTCTGAGATTAGAGAATGCACATGGAGTGCCGGCGTTTAGCCCCTGAACACAGACGATGAACTCAGAATAGGACATCACCAGCACACTGCACTCGCTGCACTTTTACACGCCTAAATGAGCCAATTGATTATCTTCAATTGGTGTCATCCTCCAACCAGAGCCCCAGTCCAGATTGTGTTTCGTTGCCATTAGATGAAATTCCAGCGCTGCCACGGCCCTGCCCAGCTAATAATCGTTTATTACATTCAGCGGCTCATGAATAAACCCTGTCATTCTGTACTAAACTACGTGTTTCCTTCTCTGTTTGTCACTTAGTTGGAGGAGCAGGTCAGCCGTCTGCAGAGAGAGAAGAACGACTTGCAGTCTCGCATGGAGGAGGACCAGGAAGATATGAATGAGCTGATGAAGAAACATAAAGCTGCTGTTGCACAGGTAACTCAAGCTATAGAGCTTCTCAATGTTTYATACTATTAAAGTTAAACTATTATCACCAATCGCAATTATGTTTTTACACGTGTCTGAGTGTGTGCTTGTGTGCATGTCTGTCTGTTAACAAAATATCTCCTCAACCGCTGGGCAAATTTTAAAGTAACTCACAGAAATTAATAATTGAGTGTACGTCTATATCTCTTTAACTTTTGGAGCTAATCAATTTATAGAAGGTTGGCACAGCTAACTGACCTTAGAAAACACATAAATGGCTATAATTCAGTCAGCTTTACATATACTGTACTGYAATCTGGTGTGGTTGTAACCACGTTAACACACTTGAAGTACTACTCATAGTGAGTGGATTTTACTTGAAACTTTAGCTGTTGCTTGTCTGTTAACAAACTATCCCATAAACCACTGGATGGACTGTAATTGACCTTTTGGAAACTAATCATTAGATGCCCATCTACTTCACTTAAGCATGTCACCAATTTGTTACTGATGCAATGCATTCTGGGGTTGATGATGRGCTAAAAAGCAATAATGTGGGACAATAAAAGTATACTTTGAATTAGTTTCTGTTCTTCACTATGTGTTGAAGCAATCAAATGTGATGTTTAGTACATTATCTCTGGAGCTTATGCATATATTGTTGTATATATTAGCTAGGGAGCTAATGCCATATATCATAATTCATGTATATATTAGTTCAGGAGCTAACGCCATATATTGCCATATACTGTGTATTAGCGCGGGAGCTAATGCCATATATTACCATATGAATAAAGTACAAAATTAAGTAAATTTGTGTTAGGTAGATTATTTTTTTGTTGTAACAATGCTTCTTGGCAATCATTCTTATACTGTTGAAAAGCCTGTAAGTTTCACTTTTAAATGGTGTCACATTTGTAAGGAACATGCATTTGTGGGATGAGCAGCAGAGCTGAGTTTGTAGTTTGCACACATGAAAAAAAATTGCCAAATCTTCGCTTCCATTGTCAAAAAGCTTAATTTGCTGTTTCTATTCTCGTTTTGAGCTTCTGGTACCCCATGGTGCTGTCAGTCAGATGCATTGCCAAGAAGTATTGTTACAACAAAGAAATAATATGCCAAACACAAATTTATTTACTTTTGGTTTATATTAAGTTTATATTAGCAAGTGCACTAATGCAAAAGCTAAAAGGCTAAAGCTAAGGTTCTGTTCCATGAAGCAGCTCTGTTGTCCTTCATCCACATTTTCAGTTGCAGGCTGAATCCTTCATACGTCCTCCTCTGTGTCAACACGCTCTGAACATGTTCAGAATTACCATTTAAACTAGATATAGCTCGCAACAAAGCACCTTTAAGYATCATCATTTACCCAGAATGCTTTGTGGTGTAAATAACAAGGCAATGTCTGTTTGCTGATACTTTTTTTTWAATTTATAATTGCAAGTTGAAGTGAATGTTCATCAAATAATATCTAATGTTACATCTAGTCGGGGTTTCCTTTAAACTTGTTTTTCTTGGACCAAAATGAAAACCGTATAGTGATTCTTTGACTGCTGTTTTTGTGTGTCCGTACATGTGATAGTCTGCCAGGGACTTGAGCCAGATCAGTGACCTGCAGGCCCAGCTAGAAGAAGCCACAAAAGAGAAGCAGGAGATCCAAGAAAAGGTACAGTACAGAGAAGTGTTCACAAGCTGTATGGCTGCCTCCTGGGAACCTGTCTCCTGCCTCCACACTTCTCTCTGATTAGTCCTCAGCTTTTCACAGGATTTCTTTGATTATTGTGACCAAAAGTGCTGGGTTTCTGTRGCTGCTTTCTTCTCAGAATTGCAAGGCAATCTACATATAAATAGTACAAATCTGCGGAAAATTTACAGTCAAGGAGGAAAATGTTCTTTTCCTCTGAGGTCTCACATGTATAGGAGGYCATGTATGAGCAAACCATTACACAGATAAAAATGAGAAGATTTTTTCAAAATCTCATATTAACATGAACTGGCCATATCTTGTTTGGTTTTGTGTTAATTTAAATAAAAACAATAAAAGCAGTTTCATTTAAATGAATTGTGTCAATTGAAAACGAGTGTGAATGCAGACTTGGCTTATAAAATATATAAAACTAGATACAAAGATATAACCTATAAAGCAAACCCTTAGTTTTGTGATTTATTCCAATCCACTGGAAAGCAATGAATGTGCCATTTTACCTCGCACAAGAAAAAAAGCTTTTTTCAGCAGTCGTTCACAACTGAGTCATTTTTTAAATGTCAAACTTCTATTTTGTAGAAACCAGTGGGCCGTCAATTTATGTTCACTGTAATGTACATAAGAAATTTTATCCTCTTTCAGTATATTTTATTGTTTTGATACGCTTTTAAAATATACTAGATTTCAGATGCTCCTTGTATTGATAACTAGTCATTGCAGGCAAGTCTGAAAGTTAAAAGAAAAAATGAGCAAAATCCAATTTTCTTTCATCTGGCCAGCATTTTTTAATCCTTTTCAGGGTCGCCAGTCCATCACAGGTTTAGCAACAGACACTTGACGCACACACACACACACACTCACACCTGAGGGCAATTTTGAAAGCTCCGTTTAATCTAATACGCATGTTTCTGGACTGTGAGAGGAAACTGGATGAAACCCACGCATGCACGAGGAGAACATGCAGACTCCACACACAAAGTCCTCTGCTGACATTTGAACCTGCGACCTGCAAGTTTTTGCTGTGGGGCATTTTTGTTGACCAGTGGACGCAGTTCAGTTTTCATTTAAAAAAAAAGTTACATATTAGTTTTTAGACATTTTAAATAACTAGAATAGAATCTGTCAAATGAATGAAGTAAACTAATAAATACAAAAAACAAACGCATCAAACTGCACCAAATTTAAATTACATAGTTTGGTAGATTGAACATAGTGAGATTACGTTACATTATAAATGTTTGTAATTTGTTTTTTTTTTCTACAAAATGCACCCGAAATCTGCATTTAAGGTCTTTTAAAAAATTATTACAGACCCCTTTAGCTCATTTGTGGTAATAAATGAAATAAAATTTGACATGTTTCATTGGACACGGGATGGTCAGCGACAGGCCATGATGTGAATGTCACACAAAATGAGTGTGCTGCTGGTTCCAGAGTGACCAACACAATCACCCTTACAACAAACTGCTGGCTAAAGAATGGGACACCATCCCACAGCAGTTTGTGCCCAAGCTGGTGAGCAGCATCAGGAGGAGGTGSCAAGCTATTGTGGCTGTGTATGGTTCTTCCACATGCTACCAATGCCTCTACGAAATTATGAAATTGCTAAATTGATAGCATTATACAAGAGGTTTAGATTTCTTATGCTTTTTAAGCTAAAAAAATGGCCATATGCTCAAAGTGCATTATACTTGAATAAATACAGTAAATGTCTGTACGTCTTGTGCAAAGTTTGAGAATGTTCAGTTTGAGAAAACAAAAGTTTTGTTAAAAACCATGAGATGTCCCATCTTCCCTTATAAATCTGAATCTACTTTTCTGACCTAGACTATTTAACCTCCATGTTTATCAGTCAGAGGATGAAAAGCCTGCTGACTTTAGTCATCCTCTGACCTCTTTCTTCAGCATCATTAGCAGGTCAAATTTTTCACTTAGTCAGTAAAATCTTTTAACAAACAACAGATGGCTTGGCAGTAATGATTGGGTCAGATTTTTCTGGCTGCACATCAGCACGTTAACATTGTCACTGGGAGCATTTTAGCATGCTGACACTAGCATATAGGTCAGAGCTTGAATGTGTTTTTGTACAAAAATGTCACAGAAGCTGCTGTTGCCTCTGCAGACTGTCATTTCTTGCTTTCATCCAGCACTATTCACAACGGGCTTATACCTTCCTAACAAAGTGTTACATTTGAATCCCACTATTCTCACATATCAGTAGCTACAATGTTTGTATCTCGTTTTGCCTACTTTTGAGCTGATTGCTTAAATGATTGTATCCTATGAGGTGTCAGCTAATGGTTTTGAATAAATGTAGATTCATGTGGTAAAAAGGTTAATGCATCTGAGTTTGGCCTGTTTTTATAACAGAGCTTTCATCGTGTTTTTCTAATGGAGTACCATTTGTTCAGAGAATAACCTTTAGGTGTGTCACATCATAATGTGGAGCCATTTTCTTTGTTTATGTGTTGCAAAATGGACTTTTTTTTCTGGGCCACTGAATTGGAATTTAGTTTGAAAGTCGTAATCCTTCATGTGTGTGTTTTGCTTGTGGATTGTGTCAACACAGCTTTAATGATTCACACGAAGAGCATTCTGTGCCTAAAACTGAKAATCATTATGAGATTTAAACTGCGTATTTTGCTTTTTTCTCTATTTGTCATTTTTTGTCATGCTTTTCAAAAAATAGGCACAGGTTAATTATTGCATGTGGACATTTTAAAGTGGGATTCTGTGGAGAAGTTATCAACAMTTAATATCCTACCTGCTGTAGATAGCTTTTTAAATGACATCTATTTAGAAAAAAAAACAGACTACATTGCCAAGCTAATGTCTTTTCAAATACAACTAAGACCAGAGTGAATTGTTTCCCTCCTGATTAAATTTTTGCTACAATGACATGTTAAACAAAATGCAATTACAAGTACTGATAATGGAGCTAAACCCCAATTATTATTGTTTTTATATATTTACGTGTATGTTTTTTGATACCACTAAATTTTGTAACGGATCAGAGCATGGTAAAAAATTATCTTCAGATTATTAGCAACATACATTTCTTTCTTTTTTTCTAGAATAGCCAATCTCTTAAGCAATGAATTATTAGGCAACATCAATTTTGCTATTTCTTTTGTAATGATTTTTTGAGGTTCTATATCTCTGGATCTCAAAAACAATCTTTCCTCATCCAGTTTAGACTTTAGATATGAAACAGTGCTGCTATCAAACAAGAGAAGAAGAACTGTCAATAAAAGCATAGAAGAAGAGCTGCTACAGGAGCCCAGATGTAAGCAGGGAGCAAGTATACATAGAAATATATATTTTTAGAATCTGCAACACTTGAAAGTAGCACAGTGTTTTGGTGTTGTTGGCCAGTGTCACATTTAAAAAAAAATGGAGGCCTAATTTTTGATGTGTGTCATACGCCTCTTGTGTGTTTTGCCATTTAATAGCACCAATCCAGTGCAGCCCGGTGTCACTTCTGTCCGAAATTTAGTATCATTTCTGTTATAAAATGAAAAGACATTTCTGCAAACTGAAGTAGTTCAAAAAGCTTTCTACAACAAGTAAGATATAATTGTTCATAATACTGTCACAGAACCCCACTTCAAAATGCTTGAAATATCCAATTAAGGGTCTACTTGCATGGCTGTCTTTCTGTCGGTGTTAGCCCTGAGATGAACCATTGTTCCAGCCTCTTATCCAATACTTGCTGAAGTAGGACTCGGCTTCCTGCTACTCTGTACAGGATAAAGCGGGTATAGCTGATGAGATGCAGTGGATTAAACAAATACAACCATCTGCTGTAAACAGTGTGTGGCTCAAAGCACAGTTCTGAGCTCCTGCTTCTCCCGAACAGCACATCACTCTTCTGTTTTGTTAAAATATAAGTGTGCCGAAGTCGCTCCGTGCTCAGCAATCAGAATATTTCTGGCTACACTTGAGATACACAGCAGGCTGCAAGCCACTGTGAAAGCGTGCCAGAGTAGGCACTGATTGTTATCTAAAGCATCTGACCTTGAAGTGGTTATCTCATTCCCAGTTGGAGGGAAATCTGGCTTCTTTAGTAATATCAAAGGAGAACCACCAAATCCTCCTTGTCTCAGATGCAGAAGTCCCTCATTAGGTGCCCTGCAGCCTTTCAGGCCAGTCTTATTGTGACGTATCTATCTCCCTTTTATCAGTCACGGCGAAAAAAAGGATTTAGATAGAACAAACGTGCTTTGCATGAAGCTGAAGCCTTTTTCAAAGCCTGTGAAATTACCGTGACTTGCTGTTACTCAGCCTGAACCACAGATTTTTCTTTCTTTTTTTTTTCTTCTTTTTTTTTTGACCATTTTAGGTAGAATGAGGGGCTTATCTTGAACTCATTATTCAGACTGGATGCACCTTATTTATATTTACCAAGACAGAATAAATTAACTCAAAATGGGTACGAAAGTAAACAGTAATTTATTTTAAGTGCACACACATAGAACATCAATGCTTCCTCTTGAGGTTTGGTCTCCACACAAAAAAAGGAAGTTAAAAAAAGGTAAAGTAAGAGGAATTTGGTGAGTAACTGACTGTGTGTGTGTGTGTGTGTGTGTGTGTGTGTGTGTGTGTGTGTGTGTGTGTGTGTGTGTGNGTGTGTGTGTGTGTGTGTGTGTGTGTGTGTGTGTGTGTGTGTGTGTGTTATTCTTTCAGCTCCATTCAATACAAAGCCAGTTAGAGTTCCAGGAACAGTCTATGGTGGAGAAATCGCTTGTGAGCCGTCAGGAGGCCAAAATCCGGGAGCTGGAGACCAAGCTGGAGTACGAGAGGACACAGATCAAACGCTTAGAGGTGAGATTATACTGCTGGTCTCATACAATGCAAAAAAAGCAAGTATGAATACATAGAAATGAGGTATGCAATATTTAGATTTTATAAGAAACAGAAGTATAAAGTGAGTAGTGAATAAAAGAAGAAAACTACTTTGACTTAGAGAAATGTTCTTATGACTAYGGTTCATATTCAAAATATACAGTAAATACTGCCAAACATTAAATGCAGTGTTACTGTTTAGCCATCTTGCATTACAATTTGTGTTGTTTAACTTCTTAGTTTACAAGAATGTTTAGTTTGAATGAAAACTATTGTTTTTGTTTGATACTTTTTTTTGCAGTTCACACCACGTTTCAGTCCCAGATTTCACCTCTTTGGGATTTAAAATTCAAAAACATTAGATAATCAATTGTTTTAAGAGTCAAAATCAGGAAGAAAGCAGAAAGCCCATATGTTTTTCATTTTTTTCATTACTTTAGATAAAAGTGTAGGAGTGGGAAGCAGATAAACACAGTTCTTTATTTTGGGAAAACAAYGGCAGATTTAGCTTAAATTTTGTTATTTTGTTCACAMAGTTTGTCACATTTATGGAAAATGWATTAATACATTTCAACATACTTTTTCCCCTTTTTAAAAGAGAATTTTTCAAGATATAAATTTTATTTGCACATGTTTACAGTTCTTATTTTACTCGTAATTGCAGTGTTTTTTTTAAAGACGTTAACTATTCATTGAGTCAAGCTGAGACAAGTTACAACAGCTTGCCACAGAAAAGAGCTTCTCTAAATTCCCGTTGGCTGCTCTGCAGAGCCTGGTGGGTCGTCTAAAGGAGAATCTCGAAAAGATGACAGAGGAGAAAAACCAACACGCCGCTGCAGAAAACAGGGAGAAGGAGCAGAACAAGCGCATGCAGAGGCAGATGAGGGACATAAAAGAAGAGATGGCTGAGCTGTCCAAGAAGGAGGCRGAGGCGAGCCGGAAGAAGCACGAACTGGTAAGAGTTTAGACGCTGAGTGACCTCACCTGTGTTTAAGTTAGCTTAGGTAACAATTCTTCTTCTGTGGTGTCGCTCATTCACCAGGAAWTGGACATTGAGAGCTTAGAGGCGGCAAATCAGAGCTTACAAGTGGATCTTAAGCTGGCCTTTAAGAGGATAGGGGACCTGCAGGCTGCCATCGAGGACGAGATGGAGAGTGATGACAACGATGACTTAATCAACAGGTACAGACGAGCTTTAGCACTCTGCAGAGCAGAACCAAGTACAGAGATTTCACAGCCGACTGTTTGACTTGTCAYTCACAAGAAAGTGYTAATAACRTCTTTGTTTCATKTCGAAGAAACWGTTTGCTAGTCTGGYRGAGCTGTGTGGGGGCAGCGCTGGGGAGGGGTGCTCTCTGGGGTGGGAGCTCAGCTGAGGACTGAGCTCCAGGGAAGAGTTTTGGGTAAATAGGCGGTGCTTTGTACCAGCAAGTGTTGGCAGCTTCAAACGGCTACCACAGGAGATTCAAGGATTTCTCAAACATGCATGAATGAGTCAAAGCAACACGCTGGGTCTGTTTTTGAGGAGGGAATGATATTATAACATGACATAAAGCCCCAAAAAGTTGATTTTGCTTAACGCTCCCCCTTTAATATTTTTTAATTCCAACAGCACTTCCAATGCTGTGACAAGTCAAACTGTCTTCTGTAGAAATATCTGTTCTGTTTACCTCAGAAGATCCTGTAATGGATTTTTTTAGCGCTGCAGTAGAGCTAAAGACTTCAAAAAACAACAAGACCTGCTGCTTTTCCTATTGGGGTGTCAATCATTCCTGCATACGTTTCTAACCTCTTTTGTACTGAATGAGTCATACTCTTTTTGTCAGCCTCACAAATGGTTTAATTCAGCCTCCTGCCTTTGCTCTCCTGCCTCTTTGCTGGTTTTTCTTGTTTGATTTCTGCCTCCCTCTTTACAGTGGGGTTCAGGGTTATGCTCGCTCTGAACCCAGGGAGGTAAACACTGACTGCTATAATACAGACATCACACAACAACACACAGGAGCTCTGTCTGAGCAGGCAGGAGTTGATTTAACRTTGCACAGAACAATGGTTGGGTATTTATTTGTGTAAAATGTTTTACTCGGTGTTATGTTATTTTGTCCTCTGTTATTTTTGTCTGTCTCACCTTCACTGCTTTTTTTTTCTTCTTCTCCTCTCTTTCCCTTTTTGGTGTCATCTTCCCTTCTGGCAGTTTACAAGACACGGTGACAAAATATCAGAAAAGAAAGAACAAAACGTGAGAATGGAAAATGCATCCTTTGTTTTCTGCCATTGTGTTTGTGGGTTGAATGTTTTTTTTTTCGCACTCATTTTTAACCACAGGGGAGAATAATGCAGTATTTTTTTTATCCTCTTTGTTTTTCCCAATAGCCCTGCGAGGAGAAGGCATTTTAAATAGATTGGAAAGCAGTGTCTGATAAAAGCCACGTTTAAAGGATGGCCCGATGTTCTGATTTGTTTCRTTTTGTTTTGTGCCAAGTGTCTGAAGGTGCACACAGTCTGCCTCATTGGAGATTTCAGGGCTTGTTTGTTTTACGCACAAGAAAATTTAAACATGAAAAAAAAACAACAACCATTAATCTGACTGTCACCCACATTCATTTAAAAGAAAAAACATGCACTGCTTTAGCAAATATGTATGTTTTAGATGGGAAAAAGTAAAGTAAAACAAACTTTAAACAATACTGCTTTATTATCTCTGTTAATGTTTGCACGAGTATGATCTGTTACTTTAAAAGTTTAATTGCATGTTAAGTTCTGATCAGCTGATCTGCATGTTGCCCTTAACTTTAATAACATCTGCTTTCTGAAGTGTATCTAAMGATGACAGTTTGCAGCCTATGCTGCATTAAAGGGGGTATTATGTATTTTCTAGGCACATAGTGTAACCAAAAATGTATATATGTATATATCAAAAATAAATTTCAGTTTGCATCATAGCCTATTTAAATGCATTGAAATCTTTAAGAATCTACTGTTTCCAACACTCCCAMTTCAACAGGTCTTCACAACAATGTTTCAGGCTGAGCACTGAGTAAACAAATAGGCGGAGCTTTGTACCAGCAAGCGTTTAGGCAGCTCCACATGGCTTCCACAGGAGATTCAAGATTTCTCAAACATGCATAAATGAGTCAAAACACTATGGGTATGTTTTTGATGAGGAAATGACATTAGAACATGATAAAAGCTCAAAAAGTCGATTTAGCATAAAACCCCCCTTTAAATTCTAAGTAATGTTTTTAATTTATGAAATAATACAGTATTTGCATATTTCAAAAATAATCTGTATTATTGTGTCCTTTGCACAAACTTAGTATGGATCTTACACATGTTCTATAATCTGGTTCAGATCTTATTTAATTAAGATTCTGTGAAAAGCTTAYAAACAATATCTTACCTGTGGTAGGTGGCTTGTTAAACAACCTCAGTTTAGATAAACTKACAGGACYCACCAGCTAAKGACTAATMTGATTATTGCAAAGACCAAACAGGMTTTATGTTGCTCAAAAGCTCAAATCTCCATAATGTTATAGCAATTTATATAAACACCATTTTATGAACTTTTTCACCAGTGTCAGTTTTGTATACTGCTTTTGCACTGACCAAATGTCCCAGGATGCACTGGACGTGCTACAGCGAATCGCTGCTTCTGCTATTTCTGCTCACAAATCACCATACATTTCGAAACAAATACTGGTGTTTGATGTTGGCGCTTCTCGGACAAGCTGTCAGCTTGTAGATCTGGTCAGACTCTGTTTCTTCAAGCTGGGGTTGTTCAAAGTTATATCTTCAACAGGTAAGATAWTAATTGCTCGTAACCTTTTCACTTCAGCGAAGCGGATTTGTTGCTTACAGTTTTTTTTTACATATGAGACTCTGGTGAAAACTTTTAGGCTAATATTTTAAAGGCTGCAAAGTCAGCAGTTGGTGTAAATTGTTTACTGAATTTCAGCAGAAAATTTTGTTTATTTACTCAAAGTTCAGCTGCTTTTTCATGCATGTGCCTGCTTTTTTAACCCTTAACTTAATAATAATGTAAAAAATATTCACCTTGGTTTGAAGGGTTTCTTGTCTTGCTTTAAAAATGTTTAGTCACTGCTTGTGAATGTTTTCTTTTCCCTTTTGGACGAACCAGTTTTCATACACTGATCATTTTTTAGGGCATCTTATTAAAGCCTTTAAAACTTCTTCATTGCAAAATATTAAATWGATCTCTGGTTCAAAGCACATACTGTTCAACTCTCCTTGATTTAATCTGGCTAATTTCTTTCGCCTATGATATTTTATTTCACTGCTTTGCTTTTTTACATGATTACACTTTCATCAGGGAATCCATGTGTATCAGTCTCCTCTCTTTCATTTTATGCAACTCAAAGAATAGAGCAACGATTTGCTATGTTGACTTCATCACATTTCCTCTCCTTCAGGATCATTGCATTAGCAACATGGATGAGCAGTAATAGAGGAGGTGATTTTTCTTGTAATTATGAAGGGGAATTTCCAGATGATTTGCGTCGCTTTCTTTATATTTTTGCACTCAGTGCTTCTAAACAGTGGTTAAATAGTGAACAGGATTTTAACTTTTATTATTATTGCATGGAAGACGAGGTAAATGAGCATTCTTTGGGCTGAGTTTAAATGTATAGGAGTATAAAACTAATCATRTCACAGAGGTTTGTTTTGTTCAGTAATTATCACAAAGGGTCTTTTGGTTTGGTGTTTAGCTGATGGTACCAACCCATTCGAGATTCGGTGCTGAATGTAAGCATTTGTGACAAAGATTTACAACCGGTGCAGGCAAATTGTCAGAAGACATTAACGTTCACTTCTGAAGTCCTGAGGCTTGTTTGTATCCATGAGCCTCTAGACTGGTTAGCTAGCATCGCGGGTGCCAAGGACAAATCGGTTGTGACACCGTTTTTACAGCACTCAATTGCAAGCCGCCTTTTATTCTGCGTGCTTGTGTGCGTTAGAGTGAGGCGGGTTAGGTTTGGGGTGGGGAGTGGGGGAGTCTTTGCCATTGGCTGGTTTCAATTTTAGTAATGTATCACATTAAAAAGTCACAGCATCACAGAGCTGACAAATGGGCAACATGTGTAATCAACTTGCTAGTATTAATGAGCCCATTATCTTGTTTCTGATGGGCTTTTATCGGTCGTAGTTAATATGCAGAAGTGGAGACGGGGAGTGCAAAATAAAGGAATGACATATAATAGCTGCCCGGGAACTGCAAATTTTTGTTTCTTGCCTCATAAAACACCTCCTTAAGTCTAAAAAGAAAAAAAATTCTAACTGTAAAATGCTTTAACCTGGTCGTTAAAATTCTTTTGGATTATTAGAGCCTCTCTTTAAAAACGAAGAGGCTCTAATTTGAGATGTTAATGCTTTTGAAACGAGCGAAGGCTACCCTCACCAAACAGCGCGTGCCTCTTCCTTTTTCTACTCAACACTTCAGAAAACTCAAATACCACCAGCTCGGCAACCAGCCATCTTGTTGCTTTTAGGCCGACTGTCAAAAAAAAAAAAAAAAAAAGGAAGTGAGGAGCGAACATGCTTTGTTGTTTGAGGGAAAAATGACTGAATGTGAATCATAAAGCTTGGGGACAAGATGGGGGTGGTGGTGGTGCTGTTAAGTGCTGTGCAGTGGGAGACCTGGTGTACATTAAGRCAAGTATTGCGTGTGGTCGAATGATGGAGCCCAGCAGCAGCTCGACCCATCATTTTCACACCTCTCGGAACATCATGTTTGCACCTTGCAAGCATTTTTTTCTTTTTTTATCTTTTTTTTTTTGGCTGCACGTTTGCAGGGCTCAGACAGATAAGCTTGTCCACAAAGACAGATCTGCGAAGTGCATCGCTGTTTCTCATTTTTAACGATGGCGAGYGGCGTATGATATACACAAGGTGAGATTGATGAAATGCGGCTCGTTGAAAATTACTGTAGGGAAGGCTATAAATAATAGCATAGCCAGCCATTAATCAGGAAGAGCTAAAAAATTGCAGATGCTTTCCAACATCACTGTCATCTCCAGTTTGAATATGTAGTCTGTCATCTTGAAACTAAGAGCTATGTAGTCGAGATTGGCGTTTTCTGACAGACCCGAGCATGTTGTCAAGCATACTTTAGGCTTGCAGAGCATAAGGGTGTCTGCTGTGTGGAAGTGCGTTCTCACATTTAATACAGCCAAGAAAGGGTGCCCCCATTGCCTTTGTGCTGAGGTTAGAAGCAGCTCAATTCTTTTTCACTTCTAATGTGTTGAACCACAGTGACAGTATTGACTTATAGGTTTTGCCCCTTTGCCCTCCTCTTCCCATACCGTTAACCTTTTTGGACAACGACYTGCTTCATTGTTAATATTCATCAGCGATCTGAATGAATGAATCCAACCTGACCTTATCCAGGTGGGATCTGCTGAGCTTTTTCATCATGATCTGGTGGTCTGTGCGTATTGATTGCCATGTCAAGCGCAGAGACAACGGGGGCCGTCTGGTGGCTCCGCTCCAATACCAATCACCAGGGGCAGCGGACACTCAGCACAGATGCTGAACCTACCAAACAAGTTAATTACACCTCCAAGAGTTRCATCTGGATGCTGCACTTTTGCTGGCACGATTTGCATTGCAGTTRTCTGTCGAAGAGAGGAGATTCTTGAAGGAACAACAACAAAAAAAGCCTAGAATTTGTTGAAATTGTTGAATCGCAGCTGTTGCCTAACTGTAGCCTGTCTGATTTGCCGTGCTTCATTAAGCTAACCCCTATTATTATGAGATAAAGGGTGCAACTGTGAAACTCCTGACAGAAGCTTACAATATGTGACAAGTAATTATTTTCCCTGATCTATGACACAGAAAATTCATATAACAAGCACTAAAGTGCAATTTCTTATGAAAAATTTGTTGGTTATGAATTGTAAAATAATCCAGTTTAATATATTAACATCATGAATCATTATGAAAACAGTTAAAAACAGTTTTAAAACATCAAAAATCTCTTACATCACTGTCAAAGTTTCTGATCTTAATGTTGTATAAATATTATTATTTTTCTCTCCACAGTGGAGGAGACACAGAAACAGACTCAGAAGTGGAAGACCGTGTGGATGGGGTTAAGTCGTGGCTTTCCAAGAACAAAGGCTCCAGCAAAACTCAGTCTGATGAAGGAAGTCTTAAGAGCAGCAGGTTAGTCCTCATGCTCTCTTGCATCATGTCTAATGATCATCTAGTGATAAAACTACCCACATTTCATAATCTTAAAAAGGCCCACGATTACCTGGGGCGTTGTGCAACAGAAGGATGGGGATCTCATGTGATTAGGTGTCATCTCTCTCTCCCAGTAATCTGTCTAATGACAGTAGGCGGTATGGAGAAGCGGCTGTTGTCACATTTATTGAGGTGGCCTGTGGCCAGTTGGCACGCCTGCCAAATGACGCCTTTGCCTCTGTCAGATAGGTCCTTTCACTAGTTGATTGCCTCACTTTCAGCAATGTACTCTGTGCATWACAGCAATGGGCAGAGGTACTATGTGTTCCTCGTCTCATGACTAATCCCAAGGACAAAATGAAGGGATTTTTACCGAAACACTGCATCTAGATGTCAAATCATAGCTACTACTGATTAGCTGATAGTGTTTTGCAAAACCAAATATTAGAACTTATCCTTGATATGYTGTCCTTTCTGCCTAAATGTTTTTGGTGTCAATTTTATTGCACAACTTTGTAGATATTCAGCAAATGCAGATGCCAAGGAGATAAAGGAAGGTAAGGAGAAGATGAGTGACAGCGGTAAAGACGGGAAGGAGGTCGAGCCGAGCAGATCGGTGTCTGTCATGAGTTCCCTCAGCTACAGGAAACGCTCCAACCTCAAGGATTCCATAGGGGGTACGGGGGATGACAGCTCACTATTCAGCACTCTGAAAGAACAGCCTGACATGCCAGATCACACTGCCATTCGTAAAGCTAAGTCAAAAACCGGTGAGCTCCAGGAYGATCGAAGGAAGAGTCAGGACGACGCCGACGATAAAGGTTCTGTCATTTCCCTGGCCTATTCTGAAGCCACCAGCAGAGCCAGGAAGGGCTTGGAGTCCCGCTGGACTTCCCGCAGAAGCCCGGAGTTCGATAAGGAATCCATGGTGTCCTCTGTTGCTCCCAGCAGGATGTCCACCAGGAGGGGCATGCTGGACTTGGARGATGACAATAAGTCGACCATTAGCAGTGTGAGCCGCTCCAGCCCACGGTCACTGCGCCGCAGCACCTCCTGGAAAGATGAAAAACGCAGCAGCTCTCGCTTGTCTCTTGCTCGCAGCTGTGGCCTCAGTGATTTTGGTCTACATGTAAATGACGATGATGATGAAGAAGGCCAGAGTTTGGCATTTGGTGAGGGTGGACACTCGCCTTACAGTTCCGTCAGTCGCAGCTTCTCCACGCCACCTCAGCCACGTTCTTCGGACAACAATCTGCCCGACACGTCTGACATTAAACCTGTCACTCACAGAAATTACTTGGACCCTGACTTAGAGGCTGCAATTAATGAGGTGCTGAGCTTCAAACCCATTAAGTTCAAGCGAAGCAAACTGGATGAATCTAGTGATGAGGAAGAAAAGAAAGGTCCAGGAAGTGAGGACAGTCGTAAGAAGGAAGGAGACGAGGCCTTTGCCTCATCAAGCCTGCTTCGATCCTCATCAAGCTTTGCTCAGGATTACGGTGATCGCAAATCCAGCACCTCCTACAGTCATAAAGWTAAAAAAACTAAAACTTCCTCATCAGACTCCTCCTCCTCTGACGATGATCGTCACAGCAGAAAGAGTACAAAAGGGAAAAAGGATAAGAAGTCCAAGAAGAAATCAAAGAAAAAACCAAGCGAATCAGAAGATTCCTCTTCCTCCTCAGACACATCAGAGTCCTCATCTTCAGATTCAGTTATCTCGTATCGAAGTTCCAATAGTGTGAAAAAGGGCCCAAAACAACAGAGAGACAACGATGATGATGATGATGACGAGGAGGAGGAGCTTGCTGCTCGTGGACAATCTAGCAAGAAAAGCAAGAAGAAACAGAAAAAGATGGATAGCCTGGTGATGAAGTACCTCTACAGGCCTGACAGTGATTGATACCAACACAACAAGGTGATGCTTGGTGCAATAATAACCCAGGAGCCTGGCAAAAATAACAATGAGTTCAGGGTTTTTCACCCAACACACTAACCTGGTTTGCTGTGTGTGAAAACTTTATTCTGAATAATCCTTCAGATGCACTAATGTTCAGGAGATAAACCCGACACCCTTTAATCTTCTTTTTTCTCCAAAAGTCCCATTGGCTAATTAGAGTAGAGCATGCTACTATTTTTGAATGAACCACTTTCCTGACATTTTTTTGTGTCTCTTGGCTTGGCTTGAATTGAGTTTAGGTGTTATATGCAGGCATCACAAACTTCATGAGAGCAAAGATTGCGGAGAGACCAATTACTAGTTGATGACTCTTTGTGTACTCAAAGCAATTTTAATTTTTTTARTTTTTCAGAGCATTTTCCCAACGTCTGCCTGCACCGAGTCGGCACAGTCTGCTGTAGGGATGTGAAGATGAGTCAATTTGTACTGATTTGCCATACACAAAACAATTGGATTAGTAGAGCAGACATGAATAGAGGCTGTTTTGGGATTAAATTGAGATGTGTCAGTTTGTTTTTGCCTTTCAAAAGGGAATATTCACTTTAACTACAAGATTAGGAGTCTTTAAGTGCTATGGGTGGCAGCTGAAGTTGGGGGACCTTGGTACTCTGACCCTAGCTTACCAAAGCTGGCTCTTGGAACATGAAATATCTCTTTGGTTGGGAAGGAGTCCAAATTTTTACACAATGTTGAGCGGTATCGACTATATCTAATCAACTGTCAACATCACAGATATAACTGGACTCTGCAAGCCTAAAGCCAGACCCAGTCACAGTCCACCAGGGCCTTTCTGGGTGGACTTTGCATGATCTCCCTGTGCACATGTGAGTTTACTCCAACATTCTCCCACCGATCAAAAACATGCATGTTAGGTTCATTGATAAGTCAGAATTGTCTTTAGGTGCAGATGAAAGTGTGAATGGGTGTTTGTCTATGTGGCCCTATAGGCGTATCCCACCGCTGGCACTGGGACGACTGGAGATGGGCACCAGCTTCCCACAACCCAGAAAGGAAAAGCACATAAAGAAAATAGATGATAGATTGATGAATGTTCTGATGAATTTCTATAAACCCTACAGATGATGGGGGTGAAAATCCCAGCAGATCAACAGTTTCTGAAATATACATTGGGGTTAAGGCATGAATTATATCATGTTGTACTGATACTTGCAGCTMGTGTATCTTTAATCATCTTTTTGGCAGTGCATCATGGTAGATAGATAAACCAGAGGAACTAAAATACCAAAAACGAACAGAGCAGCATCAAATGGAGATGCTACASTTTGTATGAAATTTACAAGAACTGAACAAAAATATACAGAGAATCCCATTTTTGAACATTAGAGTTGGCAAGTGTCTCTTAGATGCACAAGATTATACATTTTTACTAAAAGACTCTGCAACCCTGATTCAAACAAGACAGAAAAAGTGTTGTTTCGACGTGTTGTTTTTTTCGTGCCATTTTATCTGCAAAAAAAAAAAAAAATATCTTGCTGTGACTTAGCACAATTTCACATTATAAACAGAGTATCTCTGTAACAGACTGCCCACACTCCCATTACCATATGCTGTCCAGCTATGTTTCAGGTTTTCACCCAGCCTTGTTTTTGTTCGGTTTTGACAATTTTATCTTCATTTAAAAAAAAAGAATGACCCAGTTGTAATCATAATACCTCATAGATGGTATTTTAGACACACACCAGTCACTTGAGTTTTWTTCCTAAATGCCTCCGTAAATAACTGCTGCTTCTATTCCTGTTTTGTGATGATAAAAGACATCTTTGCAAATGTGAGCATTTCTCTCTAATGTTGTTTGGTGCTGTTCTAAGTACTTAAGTGTTAAGAGAAAATGTCTGACTGTGACTTCTCCTCTAGCACAAACAGAGGCTGGCAATGAGGCAGACAAAATTACACCAATTTTTCTTTTCACTCGAGGTGTGATATGCCTGTTGAAACTATTTGATGTGAACACTTTGCATCATAATTAAAGTGCCAAAATTAGCTCTGAGCTTCAAAAGCTGTCTATTTTAAGAGGATTTTTTTCCCTGACAGTTTGAGTTTTTTGTGGTTCTGTGACGTTAAAATTGCAGGACATCAGCTTGGTTGTCCTTGAATGTGGGAAAAAAACAGCTTGTCATCTTTTAAACACTGGCCTTTAGTGTGTTTAGGAAAGGTTTTTGTAGGTGATTAGAGTTCATAGTGTCCCAATGTCAGCAAAACAGTGGGTTTCATCACAGCAACCATTGACACTTTTGGCACACGTTTCAACCACATTAAAATGAAAATAATAAATATTAGTAACAAATCTKTCAAATAAATGGTTCCTTCTTTGAAAGACAAATCACACTTTTGGTTGTTAATGCATTTTGGTTTTCTTTTTATGCAATTTTTACCCACTTTTCCCATTCATTTGCACTGCCTTGGAAATTTTGAGTTACACACATTTATTTTCATGATTCTTCTAATAGCTGTGGGTTTTTAGATCAAAAATAATAAAATGTTTTCTSTTATTCTTTACAGAGCAGGAGTMACCAAATAAATATATCATTCAGAGAGCAAGTTCTTTAAAGATTAGATCAAAACGAGCTACATTTGTTGGGGTTAGTTAGYGAACTGGGTATCAAACCCAGGACCCTCTTTCTGTGAGGCAATGGTGCCAACCACCATGTCGTGCCGACACAGACTAAAAAAAAAAAGATAAATGTGACGACAACTCCAAATATGTGTGCAAAGCAGGCAGTAGATGCCTAGATTACAGTTTTCAAAGCATTGCATACAAAGAAAGGTATGGTTTGCAAAAACGTGATACTCAGTATGCAGCTGCATGGCTCACTGGTCGCAACTCAGAATTTAGTCAGACTTCAGTGGAAAAATGTTCTATTTTCTTTTCAATTTCGAGTCTCCAAATAGTTTTTAGCAGTCACAGCCCAGCGAGAGGTCGGCCTTTAATGTCAAAAATAATCATTTCACAAAAGATTCTTACATAATCAGCATGTTTAATATRTTTTGTTAAAKAGAATCTTTTTAATTTTACATATTAAACATGTTAATTATCTTGCAAAATTATTGGGCAATTTTCTGTGAAATCACAGAACAGGGGTGTACAATCCTGGTCCTTCGAGGGAAACTATCCGAAGGTTAAAGAGGTTTGTCTTTTCCAACGCACCTGATTTGATTGAATGAGTGACAGGCTTCTGCAGAACTTGATAATTCAGTCACTGAAGCAGGTGTGTTGGAGAAGTGAAACAAGTAAAACATGCAGGATAGAGGCCCTCGAGGACCAGGATTGGACAGCCCCTGCTTTAGAGGGTGGGGAATGCTTACAGAAATCAGGAAGATAAATTACAAAAGATAAATGTCACACTCATGCTATCTTAAATGCAAACTTAGTCTCGAACCATACGCGATGGCCTGAAGAAACACCTACACTGGCCAAAAGCGGCCCATAGTCCATGAGTTGATCATCACTGCTGTGCAGGATGCTTTCATTTTAGGTATAATTGGGACTCACTTTTGAACAGCACACTGTCACTTATAATGGCTAAATGTTGTTTTCTTGGTTTGCCGTCTTCAAAGTGGTATAAGGACGGTCTAATTGTAATCTCTTCCGTGAATTAAGTTGCGTTTAAAGTAATGTGCACTGTTTATTATGCCATGTGCTGTCATGACAACTTGGTTGAAAAAAAAACAGTAACAACCTCTAATGAGTGTGGTAGGCAGGACGCAAAGTGCTGTAATCTTTTCAACCTTGCAGGAAGTTACTGAGCACATAAAAGCCAAATTAATTCTGTTTACTTGCAAACTGCACAAACCTTTTTAATAGTGTTTTTATATTCTGCTAAAGCAATAATACTTGTGCATGGGAAGTGATTTTTTTTCCCGTTTTCAGTTTGTGACACTGACTCACSTATTGAGAGCATGTTGTGCACATGAGGATGCAGTATTTACTGACCGCAGCAAATGCATCGTAKCAAGGGGAGTAAGATGATTATCTCGCAGCTTAAATGCTCTTTTATCATTGCATGTCCGTCTTTTGTCTCCTCTGTAAGTAGCCGAGCGGTGATTTAACGGCRTGTCTATATTTGTGTTGACCCCTTGTAGCCCTCCTGTGTACCGGAGACACCTGAGTCTTGGCAGATCTGATGAAGAGGACGAAGCTGACAGAGACACCAGCAGGCAGTCCCTGAGGCAAMGCAACAGCGACGGCTCATTGATTGAGAGCTCGTCGTAGCCCTCAGTCAGCCGGCCTTGTTCTTTCAGTGACACCAATCACACAAGAGGGACAAGCTTCTTCTTTTTTTTTTTTCTTTTCACCTTACTGTATTACTACTGCCCGGTCGGCAAGGACAAAATAAAAAAAAAAGCAGCAGCACATGAAGAACAAATAATAAATAACAGCCCAGACCTTTCATCACACTTATTAACTTTTACGAGCCGGACATGGTTTTGCTCTCATGGCTGAATTGAGCTTCAGTTGACCCAACAAACTGAATCAGAACCAGAAAAAAAAAAAAAAAAGAAATCAAATAAAAAGCCAAACTTTCTGCTGCCGCTTTACTTAACAAGAGCTTCTTTTCAGGCAAATTTAAACACTCCAAGTCWACACGCAGCTCTGCCAAGAGGATTTAGATAAGCTGCTCCGGCTGGACTTCTTCAAGAAGGTCTGACCAACTATTAAGATTACTCTTATCTCCTCTTCATTCATGTGGACGAGCACAGAGGGAGGAATTAACCCGTTTTTCAATTAATTAGCCTAACTATAAGTTTCACACGTGGCTCGTGTTCCGACCTGAGATATCTGCATAGGAACCAAGTGATGCTGATTGCTGACATGAAAGCGTAATAAATTTGAAAATTGAAAGAATTATTTAAACAAAGCTGTTCGATGTGACCATTTGTGCACACAAACTCTTGAGAAATTGATTTAATTTTTGATTTAAAAGATAATATATAGTAACCATACTGTATCTAATAAGTAAGAATCAGATGATATAAAATGTATGTTGTAATCATGGTTTCTCTTTATCGGTGAGAGGCACTTTGAAGGCTTTTGCTCTTGTTACATTTCTGGAAGTTGAAAGGGAATGCTTTTCTTTGCTGTTATTTATGAGCTTTTCTTACAGCTTGCTAGATCCTGCTGATGCTAACATGCAGGTGTTATTAGTGTGTTTTTAAGACGTATGAACTACAGTTCGTGCAAATGCTTTATCCTTGGAGAATCATGCTCCGAATTCAGAGGTTTTTGGTTCCAGCAGTAAAATCTTTGCATGCTTTCCAGTGCAATATTGTTATAACTCTAAGTGCCAAATACTGTAAAACCGTGTGGAAATCACATGTTCAGAGTAAAGGTGTTTGCTTTTTCCTTTAATTTAGAATCTTGGCTCTTTGAGAGTACAGCCCCCTCACCCTTCTCACACATACAAACTTCTTCTATCCTCATGGGGACTTTGAATTGACTTCAATTTATTTTCCAGTCCTTTCTATAACCCAGCCCCCCACCCAAAACTAGCCTTTTAACTCGTGAAGACCAGACTTTTAAACCCATAAGGAGCAATTGGTCTTCAAATAGCTATGTGTACCGGGAATATCGCCCCCACCAGGTAGCATAAACGTACACACACACACACACACACACACACACACACACACACACACACACACACACACACACAC